TCTTAGGGCAGGGACTGTCTTTATTATCTAGCATCCAGCACAGTGGGGGTCTGAGACATGATGGGGGTCCTCGAGCACTGCACGAACCAGTCATACTGATAGACAGCAAGGGCACAAAGTGTGTCAGCAATAGCCAGAGATGCTGCAATAAGCACATCATCACGGCAGCAGATGAACCAGTCAATGTGCAGTTGATGTGTAACAGCCGGAGGTGATTACACACTGACCACGTAGCATTTACAAATGGTCATGAAACTGTACACTCCTGAGCCCTTTACATGGAGCTACGTTTTCCCCAGGTAGAGATAGAGAAAGAGGGGTTTTTAAGTCACTGAAGTAACTGCCACGTGATTTAATCAGCTGGTTGGAGCGATTGCAATTAGCTTGCCCTTTTAATCAGAAGGAATAAAAGATATCGCAATTGCAATGGAAGCCAGTGGGCAGGCTGAAGAGCCATCCATGCAGGCAGGGTCCACCTGCCTCTAGATAATAAGAGACATATCCTGCTACTGCACACGGCTACAATGAACTGCTAACGGAGGGAGGAAGGCAGGGCAGGGAGTTCTCATTCAACAGGACCTCAACTTCACTCATTAAGAAGGAGCCATAAATAGGGACCCTAACAAGGATGACAGCAGTTCTTTCTGGCTGGACTTCACCTCTAAGTCCTGCTTGTCTCTCAGCAAGGAAGAAATCAGATCTTCTAATTAGCAAAAAGTACGAAAATCTTATAACCTTCTCTGCTGCCAGCATGCATGCCTTTCCATGGGTTGCTACACAAGCAGCACGTTCTGGAAGGGATAGAAAAGTGAATCTGAGTCCAGCCACAGGAGCCAGATACTCATCCTGATCCTCTTGCTATGGAGTCAGGCAAGTTGTTCCTCTACTGGATGCGGCAGTCCCTCCAAGTGCCCACAATGGATGAGACGAGGGTATTGGTATATTTGACTGATATATACGGCTCCCGTTCTGCACTTAATACTATCCGAACGGGCAGAATAATACTTTCTGACACACAAATCAACCTGTCTGTCAAAAGGGTTTTCAGTACAATATCACGGTGGGAAAGAGCTATATTTTGCCATGTTCATAGGTGGGAATTTGGTGTGAGAACAGAGAGCAGAGAAGCTTCCCCGAGGCAGGTGGACTGCCATTGGCCTTGCCACCCACAAAACCTCAGTAATGAGACTAGATGCGGGGCACCTGTGTCATGGCTGTTCTGCAAGGCAATTTAGAAGCCCAGGTGTTGGGAATGAGGAGGGGAAAGGGCATGGGGATGAACGGGAGAGCTGCTTTTTCCCTGGTGAACAGGGGTACATATTCTGGGAGGTGATGCCCTTGTCTAAGGCAGCAGTTCCTAACCTCGGGTCACAACCCAAATGAGGGTCATGGGGGCAATGCCAGGGGTGCTGCACACAAATGACGAGCTGCTCCGTGTGCTGGGAGCTCCCCGGGCTGCTGCTGTCACTGCACTGCGCTCCCAGCAGTAGGTTGTGGCAAAAAAAGGGTGGGAACCACTGGTTTAGGAGGTAATTCTTGAGAGAGGAAAGCAGATGTCAATGCCTGAGAGGGACTATTTAGTCTGCAGAAGAGAAGACCAAGGGGGATTGAATAGCAGCCTTCAACTCCCTGCCGGGGACTGCAAAGAGGATAGAGCTGGGCTGTTCTCAGTGGGGGCAGACGACAGGACAGGGAGCAATGGGCTCAAGCTGTAGCAAGGGAGGTTTAAGTTGGATATTAGGAAAAACTTTCTCATAAGGAGGGTAGGAAAACACTGGAACAATTTACCCAGAGAGGTGGTGGGCTCTCCAACCTTGGAGGTGTTGAAGGCCTGGCTCAACAAAGCTTTGGCTGGGATGCTGTAGTTGGGGCTGGTCCTGCTTGGAGCAGGGGGTTGGACTAGATGTGACCTCCTGAGCTCCCTTCCCACCCTCATTTTCTGTGATTCTATGATTACAACAGCTCTCTGCTTCACGGGGGAATTAATATTTCAGACGAGTCAAATGACTGTTTGGGTCTGGATTTAGAATTAAATGTTCATCTAGGGCAGTTTCTATCCAGGGCCTCAGTCCCCATCCATCCTGAGATAATACCATACAAGACGCGAAACTGCAGCACGCAATCTCAGTTCTTGCTTTGAGGATTCACTTAATGCTTGGGCCTTGTGCTGGTCCTTTGCCCAGGGGCAGATGTCATCCACGGAGATAACCAACCGTGATATTGCATCCTGCATTACAAGGAACTCTGTGCACATTGCTTTCTGTTTGTTTTGAATCAATCCGTGGTTGATTTTCCCATTAACTTCCCTCTGTAATGGTTAATATTGTTGAAAAATTGGACAACAGGGGGTTTTTTATTAACACAAAATGCATTGACTTTCATTGTTTTGAAATTCTTAATGAAGTCTGGACCAATTCCTATCGCAGAATGAACTCAGCTGGCTCAAGCTGGAACCATTCAGGGGAGAAAAGAAGAGATAATTTCCTTCTCGCTCTGAGCCCTGCTCCCGAGATCTCTCAAGTTAGTGTTTCCAATTTCCTGATCAAAAAAGGATTTGATGGTTTCCTGTGCTTTTGTGAGAAGGGATGTTTTTCCTCTTACGCATAATCCTGCTAATGTCACTATAGCAAACCTCTCCTAATTGCTGCGTATTGTAGTGTCAACACTAAGGAAACATTGGCCACATCCTGTCACCTCCTCTTCCATTGCAACATTTCACGCAGGTAGCATCAAGTAACACCTAGTGTTCCCATGACGGACCCATGCGTCAGCTGTGACCTGAATCAATCTTCAAGACCCCTTTTTTTCCCTCCCCACATTCTGCCGTGAGCTGGAGATGCTTTTAGATGGCTGGAGAGGTGACTTTTTCCATTGAAAGCTGCAGCTATGGACAGACCTGGAAACATCATGTTGAAATATGCATCTAAACTTATATTGTGGCCATCTACAGCTCCGGTTATCAACCTTATCGCTAGAAGAGCCCTTTCCATCCGGCTAGGACCTCCCCTTCCATTAGCAACATGGTTGAGAGAGACACTACACACTCGTCATCTCCTTTTGTGACACATGATTGTCTGATTTGCAGGGTAACTTATTGCACATGTTGCATGTGTTAGTCGCATAGAGGGAAATGCATAGAGAACCAGAGGGCAGGTCATTGCCAAGAGCCATCAGTAGGCAATGGCTTTGTCTTTCCGCTCCTCTGTTTAAAAAGAAAACGGGTGATCTTCCCAAACCTTTGCACAGAGAAGAAAAGAGCTTGTTATCCTCAGAGTGCATTTCATACCTTTAAAAACAGCAGATGACTGTAATGCATCTAGCCTGCAGTCATTCAGACTATCCGGACCCTGAATTTAAACTACAGCCAGGCCCGTTTCCATGTCATTTTATTCATTTTGCTGTATTTTATTTACAGAGATATTACAAAATATATTGTGAACTGGGTACAACTGGTAATTACAGCATGGATTTGGCAGCCTGGTTTCGGCTTGGTGAGATGTTGTTGGTGACGGCTTCTCAATTGTTTAAACCATGAAGCACAGAGATTAGGGGCAAGGGGTGCTGGAAACATTCAAACAGGAAAAAACCCTCTTTTCCCAGACTGTCCTAGAGTCCAACATGTCTAGCTGCAGATCTTCTCCGAACCTTGCCCTTTGCTCTCCCCAGAACACCAGGAGTCAGACTGCAAAGCCCCTTTGTGAACAGATACTTTCAAGACTCGTTCCCTCCAAGTCACTGGGATGGATCATGAGATAAATTGCTGCTCAGCACGAGTGAGTGGCTTGCAGTCTTGCTTGCTCGTTTTTATAACCATGTGGTGAAAGACTATCATCGTTAATAGAGATGGTTAGATGCCATCATAAAATGTCTGCAACTTAAAACCTCAGGGAGGGCATTGCTTTCACTCTTCCCCCAGAGCCCTAGGGAAGTGGGGAGGCAGGACTGCCCATGAGTAACAGCTGCTCTTCCTGCCTTCCCTGTTTTTTTCTTCAAAGCAAAGCAAAGAGAGGGGGAAAACCCCACCTGTGCTATACAGGAGCAGCATACAGCCTTGCTGTCTCGCTCTGTTGACTTCACACCAGGGATGCACCACTGTTGCTCCTCACTCCATTTTGCACAATAACCTGCAACGAGACAGGAGATGGAAACGCTGGTGAGCAGGACTTGCTGCCAGGCTGGGTAATGAGCGGTGATGAGCGGTACCCTTGAATCAGCATGTGTACCATGCAAGACAAGGTAACGTTTCTTTAGTTTTCTCCCTATTTATTTTTTGGCTTGGGCTTCGGTTCATCCTATTTATTCATATTTACATGGGCGGTACGGTGTCGCACGTGACTCACACGGCCCTTCTTCTTGGCACCCGTTTTCCTGTGGACCCATAGGACTGTAGGAATCAGATCTGTAGGTGACAAACCTTCTTAGCCCACTTGGGGCCTTGCTAAGTCTTTGTCTGAAGGCCTCAGCAGTTTGATACTGAACAGGTCAGCTGGAGGTGAAGGCAAAGCTATTGCATGTAGTTCCCGTGAGCTCCAGCCGTCTGGCTCCTATTGCAAAGCGAGAAAGATGGCGGCGTCTTTGGTGAGAGTTGTATCAGTGACGTTAACACATGAGCAACTGGCAGCCGTGACTGCTCACCACCTGCCGTTGGCTCTGCTAATGTCAGTAATTAATGCACTCGAGGTCAGTTGGCCACAGGCAGGTATCAAATGAGCGTGTCTTTGTTTTTGCTTCTGCTTCTTTGAACACAGTGTGAGGGTAGCTCTTGAAAAGTGCCCTTTGGAGTGACCTCTCAGAGTCCAAAGGTCACCTGGGGACGGAGAGATCCTCCCACTCGAAGCCTCTCATTACATCCCAGCTGCATGGATATGGCACTGTCTTAACACTGTGGGCTCCCAGCCCTGTACAAAAACACTCGGCCTCCTTGTGACTCCCTGCTTGCCTGGCGTGCATGGGCGCGTGCATGCGTGGTATAGGTTTTTCTTCTCAGGCTGAGTGTAGTCTTAGCAATGGAGGATCTTCATGAAGGCTTTCCGGAACTCGATGTTGAAGGTGGTGTAAATAATCGGGTTGACCGCGCTGTTGACGTACCCGAGCCAGGTGAAGGCGCTGTACATGGCCGGGGGGATGTTGCAATTGCAGTGTATGTTCAGGATGTGGGTGATGAAGAAGGGGAGCCAGCATATGATGAAAACACCTAGAAAAGAGGAAAAGGATAAGTCTGAGTGTCACCAGCTTTCTTCTGTGGCCCTGGGAGGTTTGGGGGTCAAAGAGGGCAGGTTCCTCAAGGACTACATTTCTGTCTGTGCCTCTTCCAGAGCTGTACCACTTGGGATTTCTCAGTGGATGCAGACTGATTTGCTCAAGAGGGATTATGCGAACAGAGAACCTGTTAACTTCTTACTGGACTTCCCCACCATTTGGGATGCAGCCCATAGAGATGGAGTCCCTCCCCGGCCATTGGCATTCAGCAGCCTGGATGTGCCAGTGTTGAGAAACTCCCTGAGTTTGAGGAGGGTGTAGTCTAGGGAAGGGAAAGCTTCTTGGCTGGGGGTGAGGTGGGCTTTCCTCCTGGCTTTTTCATTGCACAGATATTTCTTATGATTTATCAGTAAGGACCTACTTAAGATGCAGCAAAACAATGGGTTTTTTGCAAAGCCGATTTTGCAGGCGTTTCCCAGTGGTCCCACCCCTCACTGCTGATTGACAGAGGGCATCTTCACTCAGTCTATGTCACTACTACTTCCTTTGACCCACCCTTTGCTGCTTATTGGCGGAGGGCGCCTTCACTCAGGCTCCGTCACCACCCCTTGTTTTCATTGATTTTATAGGAAATCATGGCCAATGCCGGACATTCCCATTAGAAGACCAGGCCAGGGCAGCCAATGACCATTCACAGAAGACAAAGGGAGGCAAACCAAAGTCTTACCGAGCACTATAGCTAACATTTGGGTGGCTTTCTTCTCCTTCTGTTGAGAGAGTTTCCTCCTGCTCATGGTTTTGAGGGAGGTCCTAGTCTTGCCGTTGGGCATGGACTGAATCTCAAAGACTTTGGCTGTCTTTGGGTTGTCTTTGGCATGCCCGTTCTTCTCTGCTTTCACGGGGCTGTTCAAGGGGGACTGCAGGGTGGAATTAACACACTGGTTGGAAGTGGCTGGCACGACGAGTTGGTGGTTACTTGGAGGTGCTAGCTTGTGTTTGGTTTTCTCGGGGGGGCTGGTACTGGACACCATCTCCATCTCCATCTCTTCCACGTGATTCACTGCCTCCTGGACAAGGATCAAATATCCCAAGATAAAAGAAGGTAAATGCACCATTGGGCAAAAGAGTAATAGAGAAGTGTCTGAAGGGAGTAGGGTTAGCCCTGTGGAGAAATCACCCCCCAGTCTGCCTCACTGCTATAAGCAGACAGCCCAACCCTCTCTGCTCCGTTTACCACTGAGCTGACATAGCTGGGTGGAAAAATTTCAGAGGGATTTTCTTTGTCCTGAGAGTTCCCACCAAATGACCAGGTTACATCACCTGGTCATGCTGACATCTTTTAAGAGCATCAGTCAGCATCCGGTGGGCCTGCTCCTGGGTTGGGACTTAGCAATGAGGTCACAAAAAGTTACAAAAAGGCGTCATCCCATCTTGGAGGGAGGAGACATTTTTGGGATGCTGGAACAAGCAAAAGGCCTTCAAAGCTCCTTTAGTCTCTGGATGAACATGTGGGTAACTCGTCTGAAATTTAGCCAGTCATTAGGATTAAGTGAACTAGATGTATATCAAAAGGTCCCCAACAAGCCCATTCTGTTTTGCTCAAGGCACTGTTTTTCTAATACTCTTCTATCTTGTACTCCTTCCCATTCTCCCTCTCTCGGATGAATAAAAGCTAGCTGATACAGCACTCCTAGCTGTGAATGCTGGTACTGGATTGAGAGCCAAGATTTTTTTCCCTTAAATATCCATAGGAAATATCCATTTTCAACAGGCTTTTCCCCCCCAGTTTTTCATAGAAAAAACAAAAGAAAAGAAATGAAAACTACCTACAACAGAAAGTCTGAAGGCTCAAGAAGGAACCCCCTCTCCTCAAGTTAATGGGGTTTGAGTCCAGCTTTTCAAAGCCCTGCAATCCCCAATCTTTTGGTTGTCTCTGGGAAAATGCAAGTGCATCCTTTAAGTCTGGCCAATGCATGGGAATTCCCTTTGTTAACAGAGAAATTTCCTTTCTCAGAACTGAGGAAAATAATCCATCTCCACTTGCTGTGTCCCCTGCAAACGCAAAGGGAGAAAGGGATGGCACCGAAGGGTTGACATTCCTCTGTGACACTTACCACTTTCTGCTTATTAACTGGGAAGCTCCCATTGGACTTGACAATGACTGTGCAGAGCTTCACATCTTCTGGATGAGTGCATTTGTCCTAAGGGGGCAAGCATCGGCACACGGGTTACGCAAGCAGAGGGCGGCTGGCAAGGGGGTTGTGACAACTTAAACACAGAGCACTGAGCAGGCATGGCCAAGTTTGCTTCAGTGGAAAGGAGGCTGGAAAATTCCTCTGGGGAATGAATGATGGAAGCCAAAGGAGCCAGGAGGACATGTTAATGACCTGGCAGATCCTCAGGCTATTCCTGTCTCTTTGCCTTCACACAACCTTGTTTGCCTAGAACCTGGCTTTTGGGGGAGGTAGCGAGAGAAAATTTGGAGAAGGGGCTGCAAGAGTACGTGGGTCTTTTCTCACTTCGTGCCAGAATGGAAATTGGTGGCTAGTGGCGTCACCACCCTCTGCTCATACAGGTGCTTCAGTAGCCAACATCAGCCTCAGACATGGACAAGTCATGCAGTCTGCATGACAAGTGTGTGTGCAGTGCGTGAGCCAGGTCCTCACATGCATCTGTCTGTGCCTGAAAGCATCGCAGCAGTTTCCTTGCTTATGAGCCTCAAGGAGATTGCTAGCTATGGACATCCACGCAGGCTGGGACAGGCCTTCTCTGTGGATACTACAGGGTTGTGAGCAGTCCCTCGATGCTCATTACAGCTTTAAGTGTCACAGAGCAAGCCAGCCTCTCCCCAAGACATCAGCTATTACCACGGGCATGCTCGGACTTTGTTTTGGTGGGAGAGAAAGGAAGGAGTCTGCTAGGTAGGTCCTCATTTTTAAATAGAGGCAAGAATCAAAGGGTTTGGAGGTCCCTGAAATCCTTTGGTTGAAATTTTAAAAGCAGTGTGTGTGTGGGGTGGGGATGGGTTAGCCTTGCGGTTTAAGGCTAGGCTGCATGTGCTGCTATGGAGGGCTCGACCTCTGGGGACGAAGAAAGCATTTAATAGATTTCATAGGCATTAGGGCTGGAAGGGACCTCGCGAGATCATCGGGTCCAGCCCCCTGCCCAAAGGGCAGGAAGTCAGCTGGGGTCAGATCACCCCAGCGAGATAAGCATCCAAGCATTTCTTAAAGGTATCCAGAATAGGTGCTTGCACCTATTTCCAATAGCTGGGTGCAGCTCCTGCGTCCCCATGAACCGGAGCTGTGGGGAGGGACTGATTCAGAAAGCACCACAGACCCCAGTCCCTCAGTCAACCTCTTAACCCCAACTCAAAGACTTTGGAGGGAAAGCAGACTCAGCACTTGCCATGGCAGGCAGTCTCTGAAGTCAGGGGAAACCTGGGACCGCTAAACTCAGCCAGGGCTCCCAACTAGGCCAAGACACCACCTCCACCTCCACAATCCCGCACTGTGCTCGCACCAAAAAGCGTCGCTTTGGGAGGCGGGGGCACTCTGGGGAGAGTGGGAGTAGGAAGGGGGAGAGGATGGAGATGGGGTGGGCTGAGATGGGTCTGGTTACCTTCAGCGGGGCCTGCGTGTCAGAGTCCGGGCCAAGAGTGCTGCGCTTGGTGTTGACGCGCTTCCGGCGCTTCCGGAGTACTATGTAAATCTGCACGTACACCAGCAGGGTGACAATGAAGGGGACGTAGAAGGAGACGATAGAGGAATACACAACAAAGGCGGGATTGGCAATGATACACTCATTCTTGTCTGGAAGACACAAGAGATTGCAGGAGCATTGTCCCAGCTGTTAGGAGCTATGACCACCATTTCTCTCTGTCTCTCTCTCTCTTGCTGAAGTCTCCAGCACCTCCACACTGCCGCTCTCTCGTCTCCCCTCTGAGCCAGGGCTGGGATTCGCTTAAGGAATCACGTACCCAACTCCCCTGTAAGTCAGTCAGGGCATCTAGTTTCATCAGGGTCCTTTCAAAGTCACAGCCCAAGTGCTCTAATAAGAGATTTTAGAGCCCATTAGAGGGGCTTGCATGCTTGCATTAGAGCCCAAGCAGTTGCATTAAAGCTGCCCAGCAGTTGTCACTGGAGGGGAAAGGGCTGTCATGCAGGTGCTTCTCCTGTAGAAACTGGACTGAAACCAGTTTATAAAGTGGGTCTGTGGTCACTTGTAACTGGCTGGATCTCAATTCAGAACCACGAGCTACATGTGAGTGAATGGCTGGCTCAGCCTCATGCCGTTGGCTGTCCAGTCTCCCTAACAAATCAGCCACTGAAATTTCTCTTCCCTGCTGTGCCAATTAAGTTATCTAGTCATTAGTAAAGTGCTCACTGTTATTATGCCTTTAAGGTATTTTCTTTGGGTGTTGGGGCTGGTTCATGCCAGGACAGTAAACCAACATGAGGGACATTGGTCTGGAGAAGGGAGAGATGGAGTTAATTCAGGGCCAGGGGACCAGCAGAGGTGTGCATGGGCTGGCACAGGGGTAGGGCAGCCAGAACAAGAGGAAGGGGGCACACTCACTAAAACTCCCAGCCCTATCGAGACAAGCCCCTCTAGGGACTCAGAAGGCCATAGGAGCGTGCAACATGGAGGAGAGCTAGCTGCAAGGGGGTATTCTGCTCACCGGTGTTGTTGAGTCCAAACAGAAGTGGGCAGGAGATGGCAAACGACAGGACCCAGACCACAGCAATCATGACGGTCACTCTGCGCTTGGAGCTGTAGCGGGTGTTGTAGAGCATTGGCATTGCCACTGCCGTGTACCTGTGACGGAGAGACAGACCTAGCGTGTCATGACCCTGGCAGGGCTGGGCCCTTCTGGGACCCTGCCTCAATCAGGGCCAGATTTGACTTTACGAGTCTCCTGGCGGTCACTAGCACTCTGGTCATGGCATGACTTTATTTTGGAGCACGTGAAGGTGCGGTTTCCAGCACCTTTTCCTGCAGGACAGAGGGCCAGGCAACAGCCCAGGTCACCTCCGGTGGATTACTGCTGCCCCCGGGGCCTCTGCCCCATCATTTCCACACATGAGCACTGCACAAGTGGGCTCTCTTTGGGCTGGGTACATCAACCTGCCCAGAGTTCATGAAGCTGGACCCCAGAACCTGAATTAGTTCCTTTAGGGCACACAGACATATGCCCTAATGTCATTTTGTGCTAGCCACATTGCCAACAGCCACGCCGAGCTGGACAGGAATTCCCCTCTGGCCCATGGAGATCTCACCTGTCGATGCTGATGGCACAGAGGTTGAGGATACTGGCAGTGCACATCATAACATCCAGGGTGACGAAGATATCACAGTGGATCCGGCTAAATCTCCACTCCCCGACCACCTAGCAAGAGAGGAAATTCAATGAAGGTGTTTGCTTAGGCAGCTGAGGTCCAAGAGCTCTGCGGCCCAACAGCGCCCTTACTGCAAAAAGGCCGTTGTTGGTTTTGAAGGGTTACTCCGGGCCAGGTTAAATGAGAGCACAATTTTGTCCACAGGATTCAAAGATTGAAGCTTGCCTATACTCCTCTGAGTCTATGCAGGGCGAGCATCTCCCAGGGCTTTGACCTGCCCACCCTAAAAATCCCAGTGCTGAAGCTTCCTCCAGGACACTGTGCTATAGGTCTGGTTCTTCTTAGGCTGTTTCCCCTGAGATATAGCCTGATTCTATCTTTCCTAATTCCACCTTAATTCATGATCTTCACAACCCACGCGACAGACACAACCTAGGACCAAATTTAACCACAATATCAGAAAATACAGCTTCCCTTAAAGTCAATGTGAGTTATGCAGTTGCTTAACTCAGCCCAAAGGCATTACTGAAAAAAACCCCAAACCCTGCATCATAAACAGCCTTAAACTGCGGTGGCAATTCTAGCAAATTGTAAATGTTTTCCGTAAGGATCTTTTTGCAATTATGTGCAGCACAGTGCAGTAATGGGCATAGATAGCACAATGCAGTCCTACTGTTTCTTCATTAAAAAAAAGACATAACCCCCATATTACTCTGTCATGAATGAAGATGGTTTTAAATTCAAAGAGAGAGTTCTTTGACATACATTACTTTTCATGGTTAAGATAGAGAGCTAATTATAATATTTCCAGTTTTCAGTAGTTTTCCCCCACCCCTCCTTTTCTTTTCTTAAGACTAAAACCAGAGTTTGGTAATTAAGTCAAATGGTGAGTAGTAGAAGTACTGTATGCAGCAGTATTTGCAGAAAAAAAAAGCTATATATTCCTTAAATATAAATAACTAAGATTCATACTGAATTTGAAATGAGAATGAATAAGAAATCTATTCTTCACAGTTCTTTCTGCGCTCTAATACATAACCATCACCAGGAGGAGGAAGGGAGCGACTCCGTTAAAATCTGAATGAGAGAGGAATACTCAGTTATGGAAAAAAAAGCACTTAAAGGACAAAGTCACAAAAGTAAATTGGTTTGATTAGAACTTGCCCGGAGGCCAAGATTTGCCAGCCAGCTATGAACCAATGCTGCTGTCAGCTGTCTGCACTCAACTGAACAGACCGGAGTTTGTGGAGGACACCGAGGGGCTGAGTCCATGTTTCTCGCAGGCAACGTGCCGTGCTAAGCTCACCGGGGAGGGGACATGAAGGACCCAGCACTGCCACTTCTGTGAGGCATCGCCGTGGCTGGGGTGGATACATTGATGATCACGGCTGACCGGACCCGATCGGAAATTCTGTCCAAATTGTTCCTTTGCCTATGGGAAATGTTTCATTTTGACCGAATGCCATTTCTGGACAAGAAAAAGCTTCCCCTGGAATATTGCACAGAAGAGCCCAGAATTTCCTTCCCAGCTGCTATTGCATTGCCCAAAAGAGCACAATGACGATCCCATTTTGCAGAGCAGAAAGCCTTTGTGAAGGGGACCTTCAGCTCTTCTTATGGGCACGGAAAATCCTAGCTTCAAGCAGTGGAAGCTTCGTATACTCCAGAGCTGGAGCCATCTGCTCTGGCGGCGATGCTAAATTCTTCCGCTTTGTGTCCTTGGGTCTCATATGTTACTTGTAGACACTAGAGCCCAAGCTCCGTGAATTTGTGCGCTGTTCCTTGCACCCCACCCTGTGATGGGACAAGGACAACAGGACCCATTTCAGATAGTGCTGTTCTCACGACTGCGATACTAAGGATTGGGGGGTCTGCTTCTTGGCAGCTTTAAACTTGAACCTCATCAGTCTCCTTTATCTGTTGGGCCCAGACAATGCTAGATGGATGCATTTGTCCCCATCCAAACACCAGAAAACAACCCCAATCACTTTGACATCTAGGAAAATGATGGGAAGCTGCTAATGCCTCAGGCTGAAGTACCTGGCGCTAGGGCTAGAGGGAGGTTGTCATTGCATTAGCAGTAAATCACAGTTATAGTTCAATGCAGGCCTGAATTCAGGCTATTAATGAAGCAGGGAACGATGCATGAGCTCACTGAAGGAAAGGGATTTAAGCCTATCTTACATCGGCTTGGCTTTTCCAATCCAGAACAAGGATGGGAGAGAACGCAGGGCGGAGAGGACCGCTTCTTTTGAAAGTAGGTTGCTGTGAGCAAGGACCATGACTTAGTAGAGCATGAGCTAATCCTGAGGACGTTCACAACCACACCTGACATCTTCAAAGCACCAGGCAAACATTCATTTTCTCTGGCGATAATTAGTTATGTGGCCTCCTGACAGCCCATGTCACATCAGCGCTTTCTCTTGTTTGCTTGCTTTGTGCTGGTGCAGTCACCGGCAGATTGTGGCTTCTCTTTTTTCCTTTCCCCACCCCGCAATCCAGCACTTTATCTTTTTCTCACATCCATTCACTCTCCAGGTCTTTCTTTGGCCCTTTCTTTCAGCGGGCAATTCCTCCCGGTGCTCTGGAAGCTGGAATACGAGCCTCAGCCAAACAGCCTTCTCAAAGCATGGCTTGTTGTGCAAAGCTGAACCCTCAGGCCTTAATTAAATGTAGCAGGTGCCGTTGGGAGACTCTATGGCAGGGGTTACAGCCAAAGAGGTTTGGAAAGTTTCTCAGCAACTTCAGTTCTACTTCGCTGACCTGTGACGAAGCACAGAGCTCCTTCCCCCACTGCCTGGTGGGGAAGCCTGGCAGAGCATCAACTGCTGTTCCTACTCCCTTGACTAGCATGTCTGTCTTGCATGGCTGGAAATGATGGCATGGCTTCTGCAGACACTTATCTCCTCAATAAGCAAGTCATTTAGTCTTTGGAAGATGCTTCAGATCACAACCCAGCCCAGCATAGGTTTGTGCCATTAATTAACCCCCCAAATAGAGTTTTTGCTGGTGTGTTGTCAGATAGAGCATCCTTGGAGTGCGTGGAGCTGTGGCCCCAAGCAGAGTCCTGTCAAACAGCCCTAGGAGAAGCAAATTGCATTTCCACCCAAGATCTCTGTTGGCCCAAATAGCTCCGAGTGACAATGAAAAGCACTTCAGTGCCTCATACAGAAACAGATGCCAGTTTTTCCCACTGATTTGGGAAACCAGGCACAACTCTGACTCCAGGTGTTTATACGCTCCTAATCCCTATCATGCCTGGGCACCTCACAGTCTTTAATGAGTTATATACAGCACCAGGCTGCGATCTTGGGACATGCTATTATCTCCCTGTTACAAATGGGAAGTAGCCTGCCTTGCATATCCTTCCACTTTACCCTTCATTGCCATCAGAGTAAGACCTCAGGGTCAGGGTTCCAGATGGTCGGGCCCTGGTGCTCCCTGCAGCAACCTGACCTATTCAGATGCAAATCCTGAACCTGTTCAAAGGCAACAGGGTTGATCCTGTCAGCTGGGGAGGAGGAGGATTTAGACAGCGCTTTTCCAATGTCAGTGAGCTGTTAGCAAGCTCCCCACAATCCCTGCATGGCTCAGGATCCATGTGGATGGGCTCAGCATCACATGGTAGAGTTTAGAGCAGTCTTGCAATGCACACAGGCCAGAGATGATCCCTGGGATTTAATCACCCCTAGTTGGAAAACTTGAATCAGGGCTTGGACCTTAAGGCAAGGGTCTATCTTTCACTAACAGCTTGAACGGATGAATCCAAGCCTTGTGTGAGCTCCTCTGCCACCACCCCCCAACTCTAACCCCGTCTCTTCCCAACTAAAGCCATCTTCCCCTCTGACATGGGCAGGGGAGAGCCACTGCCATAGATCTAAGCTGCAATGATATTTAGATTGGAGGAGTGATTTCAAGTTAAACCAGGACCTGGAAGGTGCTGGCTTGGGACCCACTTGGAGGTTAGGGAATCCAGTGGGAAATTAAGAGGGCCAGGCTAAAACTGTTATTAGATTAAGTAGCCCAAAATCTCATTTGTGCTTCCTAGAACACAGTGCGTGCGTCTACACATTCATTAATGCACCGAAGTTACTGCACATTAAGTTCAGTACTTGGATAGCCAAGTACTAAATCAATGCACAATAACTTGTGCTACTGTGCAGTAGCACCTGTGCATGGGTTTTTAATGATGCTTACTGTGCAGTAGCCTAATATTACTGTGCAGTAGCATATTAGCACGGTTTTTGCCCAGCACGCTACTGCGCAGTGTTATTAAGCTACAGCACAGTTAATGCCTCGTGTAGACGCACCCAGTGAAAACTTCCTGTGCCCGTATAAATGCAATCAACTTCTTCATCAGCACTGATTCAGCCTGGTGGCAAGAGCTCCTACTGGCAAATTAATAGCAGACTGGCCTGGATGAAAACCAGGGGCACTCCTGGATCAGTGGGGAGCCCCTGGAAGTCGGGTCATCAGGAAGGGGCACGTCCCATGACCGGGCCTCTCCTGACTGCCACGACAGAGACACATTTAGGGAAGCAGAGTGAGAGTCTCAGAGGTCTGCGCAGGTTGTGGCTCCTGCTCACCCGCACAGGATGGGTGCAGCAGCTACCCTGTTGCGACGGTCATCGCTCCGGTTCACTCTGCATGGGCCTAATGGCAGCGTGGAGTCCATTCCCGATTCCTCCAGGCTGGCAGCTGCTGATGGAAAATGCTGCACGCTTTGCTGTGAGGACTGAGCTTGCCTGGGGAGATGAGCTGATGGACTGCGTGGCTCTAACTTGTATCGTTCTGATCAGATTCTCCCTGCACTGACTGTACAAGAACGAACCCTATAGCAAGATGATCTCTCCTTCTGGGCCGCAGCGTGAGCTGTGGGAGGTAAAATGCGAATCAGTCTTCATCCTGCTGATTGGGGCTTTTCGGTTTTCCTAATACACAGTCAGATATCTTGTTCTCTTTTCCCTCCTGTGATGCAATCAAAATGATTTCTGCAGTGAACTAGAATCCCTGCCTAGGAGGGCACGGGGGGCAGGATTATCATAGTATCACAATGCATTGCTATGCAGCATTTTCCCAAGCAGTTCTGAATGAGAAACGGCTCACGCTGAAGCTAATGTGGGTATTAAATCCCTCCATCAGTGACTCTGTAATTAGGTACTACATGTACCTGGGCACGTGGAGTCCCTGCGTGGTTAGGCAAAAACCCAAATTGTTGCTAAACTGATGATTTAAATTGATTGTTTTGGTGATAAAACAGTCTCACAAGCAAGTGTAGCCGACCCAGGATAACCGTCAGTAGTCAAATCCCTGAGCAACACCAGTCTGCTGCAGTGAAATGGCACTCAGCTGCCTGGCCAAGCAGACTCTTCTCCTTTCTTTGACCCCGTTCCTAATGGGACAGCGTATGGGAATGCCTCTCTTTGACTCCAGAGCTGGAGACTAGATTAAAGTCCAGTAACTCAGCAGTGAGTGAATTAAAATCAGGGTTCTTGCTGTGAAACAAGGATGAGAGAGAGGTCCCAGGGAAAGGCTTTTCATCTGCAGCATGAGCGTGTATCAGTGATTATTATTTATACCACAAAGTAATAACGAGACAGCTGTAGCTCCCTTGAGCCCAGTACTACAGAGCACTTAACTGCATGCTTCACATAAAGCATGTGGACAGCTTTGGTCACTTCAATGTCATTAATCATGTGCTTGACTTTAAACATATGCTTATGTGCTTGGCTGGGACCTCCTGCCTGGGTAGACGGCAATTTGACTTCTTCCTCGTACTTCTGCAAATGGAGAGCTGTAGGAAAACCCTCCAGGTTGTCTCCCATTGCAGGCACTTCTAAAAATATGCACTGGTGGGAATATCACTTATTTATTTGTTCTTTTTTTGAAGAAATCGTTGGGAAAATGTGTTGGGAAAATGTGTTTGATGAATATTTAGAGCTGAGATGGAGCCCAAGCACCAGCAGAGCAAACTTTTATTTTCCCTCTTGCTGGCACAGAAGGGGAGGCTTCCTAAGTATTTAGCACAGTAATGAGGGAGTAGAGGAAAAAACAGAAGTCCAGTCTCTGTGGCCCATTGCATACTTGGCCTCTCCCAGAGCAGACGCCCAGTAGAGGCCTACTAGGAGACTGATGTGGATGCCACCCGTTTTGTGTCCGGATTGAAGATCCTCCCAGCTTCCTTCACACAGGCTACCAGCCAGCATCAGAGGGAGCACCTGTAGATTCATAGATTCATAAATGTTAGGGTCAGAAGGGACCTCAACAGATCATCGAGTCTGACCCCCTGCATAGGCAGGAAAGACTAGCTTGTGGCCATTATTTCCTGTAACCCCCGGGGGCGCCTTGGTGAATAAAACCTCACCAATTCCCTTCTGTGCCCCCGTGATGAACTTAAAGTTTTTGGCAACCTGGATAAAACATCTCCAGTTGTGCTGCGCCCTAGGTGTTATGCATGAGATGTGTTCCTGCGGCATAGAAGACCCGCAGGAGGCCTAACTACAACTTACCTCACTTAAGTCAGTAAGTAGCACATAAAACTTGAGCTGGCTCTTGGACAAGGGATGAGCAGTACCCCATGTTAATTGTTCAGTAGCTTTTTTCCTGTTTCTGCCAGTCTCCAAAGAAAATGAATATCCTCCTCCCCTTTTCTCAATCTCTCACACACACATCAACATTTTTAATGCACCGAAGGACAGGAGGGACCTTGTTGTTTCTGTTATCCTGCACCTGATGCAATTTGCAATTTCTAGCTATTTACTGTTCCAAAACTCATTCGACATGAGCTAAACACTTGGCATTCATGGATTTTTCCATTCTCACAAAACACTTGTGCCATTCAAACCTGGCTCGACGCACGCTCTTTCCTACCGAAGTGACACTCAGACAGCAGTAATGCAACAAGTAGCTCTCTTGAGATTCTGCTTTTCTCATATATTGTGACACAGTGGCATAGCATTTGCATCTGATACATGCCATCACACCTTTTTCCTTCTGCTATGGGTCCTAAGAACTATACTAAATGAATGGTTGGTATTCTGTGGATTATTCATATAACACTGGGAAGTGGCTAAGGGCCCTGCCTGGGGCCAAGTATGCACTTCAAATATCGCTGTATCTTTTAAAATCGCATCAGGGCCTGTATCCCTCCTTAGTGGCTTCATCTTGGGGAACAGTTTTTAGAAGGGCTTGGAGCCAGGTTTCCAGGCTTTCAGCACTTGTGACTGGCCAGATTATTTCTAAAGGCTCTGCTCCTGTTTATCTAAATGATTGTCCACCTTTTCAAATGCGGTTGGTTTAGGCTGAGATTTCCCTCTCCCTCCCTTTCTCTCTCTCAAACCAAGATGAGCCCAACTCCACCAGCAGAAAAGAAATATATTTCTCTCCAAAGTGTGTGTGAATAATCAACATGCTGTGTGCACTGCTCATGTACTCGCGAGCATGAAATGAAGCGAGACCATTTCTGCTCCCTGCAGCAGTCCGTTCGCCAGTCTTTTCTATTGTGGGACAAGGGGCCATACTGGCAGGTGTCATCCATTATGGAAAAGGAGCCAATATTTTCACTGGCTGCTCTTGTTGGACTTTCTGGCTTCTTTGAAAATTGCCATTGGCCAAAATACCAGTTCCTTTCTCTGGTGAGTAAGGTTTAAGCATTCCCTTCTAATGGAGACAGTCCTATTGTAAGTTGACAATACTGCACTCAGGGCTGTGTATTTACCACTAAATTCACCAGATCCTAACACAGAAAGACCCCTAATTGCTAGAGCAAGGCAGCTCTTCAGAGTCTTACTGCCCTGCAAAGAAAGGATCCCTAATGAAACCCAGACTGGGAGAACTGGCAATAATTTTTTGGTGATACTAAAGCCTGTATTGTACTTTTCCTGCCAATGAATGTCAAAGCACTTTGCAAACTGATTCAGGAAAGCACCCGATTCAGACCAGATGTACAAGGCACGCTGGCTTTGCACAGGACATGCTACACACCCACGTCACCTACCTCCAGGTAGACCACCCAGGGCATCACCAGCGTTGCTACCAGTAGATCTGCCACGGCCAGGCTCACGATCAGGTAGTTGGTGGTGGTCTGAAGGGCTTTTTCTCTGGACACAGCCATGCACACCAGCACGTTGCCAAAGACAATGACGAAGATGAGGAGGGTGAGGAGCATGGCGTAGTAGTTGTAGTGAGGCTTCTGCTCTGTGTCGGACCCATTGAGAGGCTTGCTCCAGTTCCTGTTGCCAATCTCATTGTTGTACCAGGACAGGTTCAGGGGATCCATGAAGGTGAAAGGTGCCAGGTTCCAACTTCACCCTGCCACAAGGAAGAAGCCAAATGACAGTCAGGGACCCAGCATAAAACATCAGCCACGGGGAGTCTCAAGCTGCTATCCTGTAAACAAGGAGGCTTTGCACGGGTTATGGTATTCAATGCATTCAATGATCTTATGCTTAAGGTGCTCTGGGCTCAGGACTGGGGAGCTCCTGACTGCAAATCCGTCATGTGGACAAGTCACTCACTTTCTCTGTGCCTGTGTTATGGAGCTAACACCTTTCCTGTCTCAGAGGTATTGCGAGACTGAAGCCATTTACATACCAGGGGGGCTGGCATGCTACAATGATGGTGATCACCAGAGTGCATTGCTGGGCAGATCAGACCTGAGAGAAGGCAGGTGCTTTAGAGAATGGAGGTTCAATCTCATCGTAGTTAGCTGTCCTCAGTACAATTGCACATTTTGTACCAACCGAGAGTTTGCCCTCCCCTGCACGCCCCTGGGGAACAGCTACTACATCCTTGCTTTTCGGTGTATTAACAAGATGACTTCTGCTTTCCCATTGTCAAACAGCCCCTCTCCCCAGTGCAAACCCTTCTCCCAACCACAGCAGTGGTGTTGAGCTGACAGGATATATCCACTCCTTTCCACCCTTCCCTGACCTCCTGCTACCTCACGTGGACAAGGGGCCCAAAAAAAGGGTGGCAACTTCACATCAGGGTCTGCCCGTGTTTGTTTAGATGGCTTGGCAGCCGCAAGGAAATCCAGAAAATCTCTAATTACAAGACTGACATTTGCAAAGCGGCCGGGCAGCTGGCACGGCAGCAAGGAGGAGGCATTGGGCCCAGCTGGTGAGCCGGCCCAGCTGCAATCAGAGCAGCTCCTTGCGTGGCTAATGCATTAAGCTCTTATTATCCTGCCCAAGTCATTTTTCCTTTCATGCTTTTTTAGAGCATTTCCTCTGCCACGTGTTGGTTTTTCTTGCTCTTCATTAAAATGAACGAGCTAACAGTGAAAGTATAAACAGGCCACGGCTTTCTCTGCCTCTTGGCTTCAAATGATCATCTGCTGCAGCTGACCTGCCTACGGGAAGATCACAGCACAATCTCTGGCTCTGATATCATCCTGTGTGTCTTGATACAAGGATCTGTTCTTCCACTAGGCACTAGACAAGCTGGGGTCAGCTCCCCCAAGCTGAGTCAGGCTGGGGGACTGCATGAATGAGGGATCTTGGAAGATCCCTGCTGATGAGCAGTGACGTGATGGGCGACACTTTTCCTTTTCAGTTATTACTGCACCATCCTCATTCCACACTGAGTTAAAATCCATTAAAGAGCCTTCCATTCTGGGAGATACGAGAGCTATCCTGTGTGATACTCAATTGATAGCTTTGAACAGCGTCTGCGACGGCATTCTCCACCCCTTTCCAGCGGCACCGAGCTGTTGACACTTATTGGAATCTGGCTCAAAACTTGCCTTTGTTTTAAAATCTCTAATATCCCTTGTGTAGGCAAAGCCACAGACAGCATCAGTCCAGAAGAAAGAACAGATAAGCAAGGAGATTGATCTTAACGTGGAGAGCTGTACACCAGGGATCAAAACCCAAGTAGCAGCCAGGCTTTGACAAGCTCCTCGTTTCTAAAGAGAGTGTGTAATCCACCAAATGTCACTTCCAATGGGATTAGAACTCACTCCTACATTTGAGAGAAAACTCTGGCTGCCTGGTCCATCCCTCCCCCACACACCTGTACTGCTGTTTTCCAATTAACATCCTGCAGCCTGGGGGATTTTTCCTCCAGGTGAAGCCCATGTGAGAACTTTATGACGTGCAGACATTGCTAAGAGGTGCTTCAGGAAGCAGCGTGTCTTCAAGAAGTCAGCCCACCCCTGCGTTGCAGGGCATCTGATTTCTTTTCCAAATGAGATGGCTTCTGCTGTTCCACTTCAGGCCAACAATTGAGGCACTTGCTATAATGATGTTGCTGTCGAACCATCAGTGAAAGGGTTATTCACATGTTGTTTGTACCTTCGGGGGAGCTAGTAATTATTTTCAGTACCTGGTTTTTGTGGGGACACTAGCATTGATTATGATATCTGTTAAAACACAGGCCACAAGCGCCCAGCAATTTTAGGTGGCCAAAAAATTCATTGTCGCAGGTGCACAGAATGGGAAGTAATCAGAGATTAACTTGTTATGTGCTGGTTCTCCCCTTGCACCTGCTCTCAACTTAAATCATATTGAAAGCAGTAGACTGTTAACTCAGGTACACTCAAAAGCAAATGAGGTTTGGGATTCACCAGCCGGTGGGTTCTGCTTGTTTTATGGCAGTACTGACAAGCCCTGGCTGAGGTCAGGGTCCCATTGTGCTAGGTGCTGTAGACATACGAAGCAAGAAGCAGTCTCTCCTTCCAAAAGCAGATAGTCCAAATAGGTCAGACAGGATGAGAGAGTAGATAAACCATTATCCTTATGGTGGAGGTACGGCATGGATAAAAGATCACAGAGTTCAGCCCTGTGCCTTCTCCTTAGACCCATCTTTCCTATCCCCGGACATGCAGAGCCACCCAGCAGCACGGCCCACCCTTGTCTACATGAAGCATTTACATTTTGCTCAAACATAGTCATCGCATTCAGCGACGCAGCAGGATCATTGTGCTAGAAAGTTCTCAGTAACAATCAAACCGCCAAAGATTAATATTTGATATGGGTTAAGCTTGCGCTCTTCTTGTCAGCAGCCTCTGAGAAAAAATTCATTCTTTGATGCCCTTGGGAGTTCTGTCTTGAGAATGAGGTAATTGAAATTTAATGCTCATATTTATGAATTATGTGTACTGCCCTGGCTGCTGCAGTTTAATTGCCGTGTTCCTTCCCCTCCGCAGCCGGCTTACAGCTTCGCTGAGCTCTGGGGACACCTGTAAACAGCCAGGCAGGCAAACAGACTCGTGGAGAACCCAACAGATCAAAGGAGGGTTTCACGATGCAGATTTCACATGCCAGGCATGAAACATTCCAGCTTTTGTAAATCAGCTTTGAGACCACGAACACAATGCGATCAGAAATAACCACAAGGCACCGCTACAATGGAGGATGAGTCACACAACAGGGTTATGTGACAATGGACTTGTTAAGTGTGGCGTGTTCAAACATCTTGACCCTTTCTCCTGACTCAAAACTCATTCAAGGTTCAACAATATTTAGATTGGTTAACATGCATGTTTTGGGTGGCGTTTCTAAATTGATTTTGTAGTACCGTGGCTCAGATAAGTTGAGGATGACAGTGGAACCAAAGCTCTGAAACACTCGAGCCTCACCCATCATTAGTGACAGTAAAGAGTGATTGAGCTATTTGGTAGGACTGAAAGTCACAATGGGCTTAGACTCTTTGGTCACCGTGGGCTTAGACAAGGTCTAATGGCCACAAACTGCTGGAAGACCATTTTAGACTGGACATAAAGAAAAACTTCTTTGCCATCTGAGTCTGCAGAGTCTGGAACAGACTCCCTCCCCCCAGAAGTGGTGCAAGCACCTACTTCGGATACCTTTAAGAAATGCTTGGATGCTTATCTTGCTGGGGTGATCTGACTCCAGCTATCTTCCTGCCCCTTGGGACCTAATGATCTCACAAGTTTCCTTCAAGCCCTAATGTCTATGAAATCTATGAAATCTTTGATCTGGGACAGAAGTTCAATAAACCAATTCAACTTAAGCCAGTTAAGTCTGATACTACATCCATTCAGGTTTATCTTAAACTGGTTGTGGCCATTTTTTTGGAAAGTGGCTTATGTGCACTGAACTTCTGTTGTGTTGCAGATTTGAACCGATTTCCTGTCACTTACGCGGGTTTATGTGTAATTTCTGTCCCTAGCCTTTTGGGCTGCGAATTGTTTGTGGACAGACAGGAATGTTCTGAGAACGTATCGCGCCTGGTAAAGCATTGGTGAAACAGTTTGGATGAATAATCCTCCCTACCACCATGACAGGCAAAACATAGGAACCTAAACACGGAGTGAGAATGAATGATTGATTTTTCTAATCTGATATTGTTTGCAAATTTTTCACTCCCACTGTTTGCTAGCTGTTACTCATGTGGCGTGGCTGGTTGCTCTGGTCACATGGCAGTGTTTCTACTGCTTGGCTGATGGAAACATGCCAGTTAGAAGTGTTGACAACAACAACAACAACAGCAAAAAGCCTTTTCCGCTACCGTGCAGGAGGCCCTGCACAAACTCAGCTACCACAATAGTACGGGACCAAGAAATGCGTGTTTTAAAGGATCTGTGCATTTTAGCACACCTGTCCCATCCAGCTGATGACATCCTGAGACAGTGCCAGGCAATGTGGCCATGTTGTTTTTTCACACGGTGACAGCATCTTGCACAAAGACAGTGTCACTCTATAATTCCTCCCCTAGTTGAACTGCATTTGGGCTGGGATGCATCCTCCAAGACACCTTTACAGGACAGTGTATGAGCAGATGTGGAAAACAAGGAGAGGCAGCACCAACCCTGAAGGGCTGAAC